CACACACACACACACAAAAGCATTAATTTAGTTTGAGTATTTTGAAATTTCGGAATTTTTAAACGTTAATTATTCGGAATTTAAATCAGAAACGTGAACTGGCTGATTTCAAAAATACACACTCCAGTACTCAACCAATAACGTACATTGCAGGGATTAAAAAAAAAGTTGGAATCGTTGGATTAATAAATTTAGACATCAAACCATCTCCGAAGAAGATGATCACTAATACAACGAATTCAGATTAATTTTCTTAAATATTATCGCATACACACACACACACACACATCACATACTATGCACGAATTTACATTACCCGGATGCATGAAAATTGCCTATCTCTAACTCCTTAAAAACTGTTCACCACCGAACCACTTAAAAAATGCAATCTTTACGCCGCCGCAGTTGGCGTGGTGGGCCATCGGCGTGGCGTTGATGGTCGTATTCAAGGAGAAGCCATCGTCGGGTGGTAATCCATGGAAAGCAATCACGAAAACCGTGACGAACCGCAAGGGTGTGGAGCTCTTGGTAGCAAGACACGAGACCCTTGTCCAGCTGACGGCCTACTTGTTCTTCCTGGTGTGCATCAAGGTCATCAAGTACACCGACCTAAACAGATCGATGACCACCGTGTACTTGAGCGTAGGCAGGGTAAACAAGAGATTGTATTACAAATTATCGAATTATTACATCGATTGCAACCCGCAGGCGTAGACTGGTAAAAAAAGGGCTCGGAATTTTAAAGGGCAAATTTAAAATAATATATGTCGATTAATTGTAAAATATTGAAATATTTCGTTTTTTTTTWWWAAAATATTGAAAAAAACGTAAATAGGTACCCAAGTTACAACAAACATTAACAACAAATCAGATCAAATATGTTTTAGCTATAGCATCCTAACCAGTCCACGCCTAATAACCCGGCCTTCGATATTATAGATTATATTCAGTTGTGGTACATAATATTTTCACTTATTTATGGCAATAATATAATAAATTATTTTTTGTCACTGCAGTGCTTCAAAATCGTCTCGGGATACCTGGTTATAATGATTTTTGTCGTGAGTGCGTTCGCGGCGCTTGGTTATTTTGCATTCGGCGCACAGGTAATTTCGATCACACAATATACAATTAATATCAGTCGAAATATTATTATTTGCTGTAGGTAGTGAGTTTGGTCGCAGTAAGCGAGTTGATGCCCGAGACTTGCTTTACGTTGATTAGTTGATTCCAGAATGATTATTAGGTATGTACGAGTTGATCCCCAAGGCCATTAGATATRTTTTTCAATATTTAGTCAAATATTGAGAAAAATATTWAATGACTCTTGATGACCATGGAATCAACTCAACGGTATCGGCGCAGGTAAACAGGAAACYGGAAATCAACTCGTACGCATCCCAAATACATACCAAGTTTAAATTGGAAAACGTGTACATCCATTTTGAACCTCAATGGCTCAATAATCCACATTGTGCCCATTGTGGTATACATATTATTCACATGAAACAAAATATTTATCCCCAAATGCATACTCGCATAATGTGCACCAAATACTGCAATGTATTCAATTATATTTTTTTACATCTCGTTAACCATACCCAGAGTTGGGCAAAATTTTATCTAGATAATTATTCGAATAAATATATTCAAATAAAAAATTATCCGAATAACTTTTCATCTAAATAATTTTTTTTTTTATTTATTGATCTAAAAAACATCGGCTTCTATGGCCATTAGTTGGACATTAGCTTAAATTAGTTTACAAGGGTGGTTAACTTATGTTATGGTATGGCTTAAATTAGGTTATATAGGTGAATTTCTTTTATAAATTGTAGGATGTTCATGATTGATTGGGGGTCCGGTSCAAGCGCTTCTCCGATTTGTTGTGATATATGTGGTGTTTTTTCTTCGTATAATCGTATTTTTAAAAATTCGGTGATGATATGTTTGACTGTGAAGTCCACTCCACACATTTCACATATGGCAGGGTCGTTTTTTTCCATGAGATKTCTGTGTGCTAAATAATTTAAAAACAATATTATTCGAATAATTTTCACAACGATTTATTCGAATAAATATTATTCGATTAATTTTCGTTTACTCAATTGATYAAACTTTGGTTGGGTAATTTTAAACATGCAAATTTCCCATATAATATCTAAATGTCTAATTTATTTRTACATTTTTGTATRGAGCTCAATATTAGTATAGAATAATTGTATTCTAAGAATATGTATAGAATAATTTTTTATTCAAATAAATCGTTGTGAATGTTATTCGAATACATTTTTATTCGAATAATTCTCTTTTAAAATTATTCGAATAATAATTTTATCTAAATAAAAAAATATTCGAATAATGCCCTACTATGACCATATCGTCTATATGAATTCCCGTGTATGATATGATTGTTCTGGAACAACTAGATGAAAGATGATGAACATAAGAATATATTCTTAGAAAAATTATAACTTTTAATAAATATGATTAAAATCTAATAATATACATAATATACATGATAAACAATTCAAATATTTAGATAATATGTTTAAGACGATGTATGATGATTATTATACCATTGAGTATATGACCRTTGACCAATATTTCCCARAGGGTGTATCGTGAAATTTGAAAGGTGTGCCGCGACAACTTGAACTTTTTTTTAATAAAAATTATTTATTTATTTTATTTAGATAATATTTATTCAAAGCTACTATTTTATACATCTGTAMCACTGATATAGACTATAGATAATAATCATATACGAATTTTTTTACGAATCAACTATGATATAAGCGAAAAAGATATCTTTGAAGAAAAAAAAGTATCAACAACTTTGTCTCACCCCCTTCGGCGTACTTTCGTTACATTTCGTTATTCGTAAAAACAAAGGACATCGCTATTCGAATGACGTCGAACCTACTTGTAAATGCATATTACCTCCGCAAATGCACATTATATAATACATATTATGCATGTATATATATACTATTATGATAATTGAACGCAATGCGACCGTCATTTATTTGGTCGTTTTCCTCTAACACGCTTTCACCCACTCAAAACTAGGTAAAAGAATTCTCGACCATCTACGATTCCGTTCTCTCGTCGCTCAGAATACTGATGAGGGACTTCGACTACAATACGCTTCAAGACGCTGACGCTTGGTTCACTACGTTTTTCTTCGTATTTTTCACGTGCGTGATGATATTCGTTCTCCTGGTAATTATATTATGATGTATAATTATATTGTGTATTTTTTAAACCTATTTTCAAAGGCCAGGGAGATCRTAACCTAACCCGCAGCGAGTCCGCGGGTTATTTGTACATGTATATATACTTGTAAAAGACTTTCGGCTAGGATCAAAATGCTTTTTTGTGCTTCACTTGTGCACCCCAATTTAGRATATGGGGCCGGAGTCTGCAGGGACCATTGTACTGCAACAGGTGGCGGCGCCAAGAGCGGGCACGAGCAGGCCATTGCCCTCCCGAAAATCTCTGACTCGTCCACTGGCCCACCCTGGAACTTTTTGAAATTTTTTTTATTTATTGTATTTTTATAAACCGCGCTCTTTTTCAAGACGATGCTAGTGGCGATCGTGTTTCACGCTTATTTCGACGTGGACGTCGAACAGTTGTTGGGCGACCGACAACCGTACGTGAGCGACAAGGTGTCGGCTTTTGTGGACAACGTGCTCGCCAAAATGGGTTTCGAAAAATGGGCGGTGCGCCGTCGAACCGACCGGCTGAACAATGAACTGGATCGTCGAGTTACCTATCAGGACGTTTATAAGATACTGAAACGGTACGTAGTATACCGAYATAATGTAATATTGTGTAATTAGGATTAAGGCATCATATATGTCATCAGAATGGACGTAAGTCGGTAAGTCTAAGAAATAAGATGATGGGCGAAGTGGGCATTTGTGCAAGTCCTCGCCGCTTCCACCCACTCACAACCAAACATAATAAGGAGGGGCATATTCGCGATATTAGCTAATCTCGCAAACCCTACAACAGGATGAAACCGGACCCTTTACAGCTACTTCGTGTCGTGCGTGGACGTGGTAACCATATGGTTACAACGGGTGACCATAATGATTTAAAATTAGAGTTGTAGTCAATTCTCTCTCGGTATATAGGCAGCACTCGAAGTTGCAATTCGGTTGTTACACGATGCCAAAAAAGTAGCGTACGAACAATCGAAATGCGCATCGACGCACCCAAACATAGCTGTGAATCTGGCTTTTAACTATAATACATTCTATGCTCAACTACTAGCTATACCACAGCGGTA